AGGTCTAGGGTGCACTAACACTTATACACTTTGTACTTTTATTTTTCTTTATTTCACATATTATTATTTTATGTTTTTGCACAAAGATATTAACACTTTTACACACGCGTCGAATTCGCGTAAACTAGGAGACGGTACCGGGGACTTTTAAAATCCCTTATCGCTGCCACCAAAAATGTTACGAGTGTCTGGATAAATATGTTTTTAAAAAAAGGAAATTGAAATAAAAAATAAAATTATAATTTGTATGGAAAGAGACAGCCGTCTGGCGTGGATGTAGGATGGATGGAGACTGAGTGGATTGACGGGCGACTGGATTACTAATGATAGAATGTGCTGAGTAGTTAGAAAAAAGCTATGTAAGCTCAAAGGGGTGCATAGCCTATGTATAACAGTACGAAAGAAATTCAATATCGACAAATTGTTGTTGTCTTTAAGATAAAGTAGTAATAGGTTCTGCAAAATTTTCTTTTGTAAAATATATACATATATATATATATATATATATATATATATATATATATATATATAATATAATAATGTTGTGTTCTTTCGCAATGGTCAATGTCGGTTGCACCAAACTCGTCTGTTGCGGGCAAACAAGTTTTTCCATAATATCCGGCCGGCTTCCGGGACTCGATGTAGAGTTTTCTTGAAATGATTTATAGGTTTTACAGTTTATGACCTAATGACCTAAAAGCTACATGATAAACGTAATTTCTAAAATTGGCTACTGCCTGCTACTTCGCCCGTGTATGTATCTACTAACTTTTATGTCAATGTGTATAACAACTATACATAATTTGATTACAAATTTTGCTACATAGATCTTTTAATTTTTCCAAAGAAATATAATAAAAATAAGGGAAAATTTACATAGGTTTTTGTATTTTAATAAAAATAGTTTAGTTATTGAGTCTTTCTGTATATTAAGCCTCAGTAACAGCCCGGAGTCGGGAAGTTGGCAGTGTTTCACCCCCGTGCCTCGGAGAGCACGTAAAGCCGTCGGTCCTGCGCCTTAACTCTCAATGGTCGTGTCGAGTAGTCGTCCCACCGGAGTATGAGAGTGACAGGAATAGAGAGTGCACGTTGTGTCTGCGCGTACACTTGTGCACTATAATATCTCTTGCTCAGTTGGCTAGTAATGAGATTAGCCACCGTGACCGGAATCGGTCAGGAGAAAATCATCATCAATATTTGAGTAATATTTGTATAATTTTTTAAATTATATATTATTTTAAAACATTATTGTTTGACTTCACGTTTAGTCCTATGATATGGTATAACTTTTTCATACACCCGGGTTGAGTACCTAAAAAGATGGGACTGTAAGATTAGCAGCCTCTATAATAAAGAAAATCTTATTATCACTTTAATCAAGCTAGTTCTTATTACAGTAGATTAAAAAAATATATTCATTGACAAAAAAAAAACATAAATTTAAAAAAAATATTCAATATAGGTACATCTTTAATCCTCCCACAATTATTATATAAATATTAAAATAAATTTATAATTAGAAATACTCAAAGAAAAAATAGTTCAGTATTTTTTTCTCCTCTTTAGTGTTCCGATGTTCTTTGTTTGTTTTATAGCTTTAGTGTAGCTTTAGTGTTATCAATAAAAAAAATGGTACCTAATGGGAGAATTTCAACTACTGGACCGAAAACTTGTATAATATAAGGTGGGCTATTTAAAAAAAGAATTAAGTCATATTTTTGAATTTTCCTTTATTAATAAAATTATGATTACAATAAAAACCCAGATTTAAAATGTTTTCCACTAAGACACAATATTTTTCAACAGCAGTCCGATTGAAATGAAATGAAATAAACTTTATTCAATCAGACTTATTACAAGCACTTTTGAATCGTCCATTTAATTTAAACGTCAGTGTACTCAGTGAGGAAACCTATCACCGGCTCGGAAAGCAGTTCTGCTGAGAAGAGCCGGCGAGAAATCAAACAGTTCAAAACCACAAATCAACAGTTGCTCTTTTAAATATCGAAATTACATTTATTTTATTAACATTATATTTATTTGATTAAGCCAGAGTTTTTTTGTAAATAATATAAATGTAGAACATAAATACCGAAAACGAGAGTTTCAGATATCCAAGACGTATTTTTTCATATATAAGTACATACCTAAATGAAATTATTAACATAAATGTTAACATTTCAACTCTGCAAATTAAGTTATAGACATATAAATAACTTACTAAACTAAAGATACTTTCACTTCCAAGCAGTACACTTACATATTTGCATGCAAATATAAAAAAACGACATTACAAGTGCGACGAACGAAAAAAATATTATATAGATTTTTTTTAATTATAATGAATTGGTATACGTAATTAATTACAGTGTTAGCCCAGTGGTAATGCGCTCGCTTGAGAAACCAAGTAGAGCGAGTTCAAATCTCGTTTCTCGTCTATTAAATAAATAAACAACGTCTACAAATAAATATGTTGGGACATTAACATACAATACCATCTAATTTCAACATAATTACTACTTGTCTTAAGTTGAAGGTAAGCGTCGTGAGGAAACTTGCATGTAGGACCGAACCCGACAATTTTTTCGAATGACATGTGAAGTTCGCCAACCCGCACTTGGTCAGCGTGGTGGATTATGACCTGATCCCCATCGTATTGTAAGGAGACTTGTACCCAACAGGGGAACGTTAAAAAGGTCTGAACACCTATAAATTAATCATAAAATTATAATAAGTACATATTGTTTATGTAACTAATTCTATCTATATCTACAAATGTAAATACAACTTTAACTGTTTGTTATTTCAAAACTCCAACCACAAAATCAATTCATTATGTATTTACATATTTTAGATGACATCAAAGTCCAAACAGATAAATAAAAGCCTATCTATATTTTTTGTAACCGCTTACCACCATAACTACTTTTACTAACGGATAAAGCCTTTATCCTCTATCTATCTAGCCTTTATCATAGAGAATTTGGACAAAACTGACAAACGTCAAATTTGCTACCCTTTCTCCTGGGAAAGGAACAGATTCCCCGAGGAGTTTGATATCCTTTGATGTTAGAAGCTTAACTGATTTAAACGCTTGTAAGATACTTAGGGAAAGTATCTCGATATTGATGAAAAATACACACAAAAATCTCTATGTTCAATTATAATAAAAACGCGTAGCATGTGTATGTACTCATATATGAAATCAAAAAACAAAAATTAATTAATCTAAATCAAATATAATTTATAATTATACGCCTTTCGATTTTAAAGTGGCAAGTTAATTTGCAACGGCATTGTTTTGGCGCGAGAGAAAACGCCATTTTCATTCAAGATATTGCCGCGGGATAACGGTGTGGTTGCGCGGTCTCGCTCGCACACGAGTAACGGCAGTACGTTAGAAAAAGATAGACGGATGGCAAATGATTACTCGACTGACCTACTCTATCGCACACTCTCGACAGAGACCTAATTTTCTGACTGAATTAATAACGATACGGCTTAATCTGTGGACATGCAAAAGATGACGATTAATGTATTTTGCGAATTGTTTTACATAACAGGTGAATTGTATAAATATGTGCAATATTTTTGTTGTGGGCATATTTTAAATATTTTTTTTGTTGTTGGCACAGATAAACACACAAGTATAACCTCTTTTTCGATGTCGGAGATGACCAAAAATAGTTATCTACATAACCGTCACAAACGTTTATGTAATATGAATTGTACTTTCAGCACAAACGCAAATGAACTTCCTAAAATATCCTGTATTTTTCAAATTTATTATCACTACATGCCGCGTCTGTATGTCAGAATGCGATACACTTAAAAACTACCAAATGGATTTTCATACGGTTTTCACCAATGGACAGAGGAATATTATGAGGAAGTTTTACGTGTATAATTCATTAAAATTTTGTGTAAATTGTCTGAAAGGAGAGTAGACGCACTTTTTTAAAATATCGATTTTTTTACTCTAATATAATCGATGTTTACTACAAAAATGTTGATACCTTTTTCACTATTTTAGGGAATGAAATTCATGACAAGTTTTTTTTTATAAATTTCATTTAACTAAGTCTAATAGATTGATAGATTACATCTGTTTTTATTTTACATAATATAAATTTTTAGACAATCTGACTATTATATTATAAATGCGAAAATTTGGATGGATGGATGTTTGTTACTCACGGTCACGCCAGAACGGTTGAACGGATCTGGATGAAATTTGGCATAATGGTAGATTATAATCTGAAATAGCACATAGGGTGTACCCCTGTTTATTAAAAAATGTACGGTTCCCGTGGGATAGACTTGTTTTTGTTTTTCGTTTGGAACGAACCCGAGCGAAGAGAGGGTGAGCCGCTAGTAAGAAAATAATTACATATATTAAAAATGTGTGATACAAATAAAAATAACAATAATCGTGCGGGGATCCAACTCACACATGTCCGATGCTTAAAATTTATTTCTTTATAAGTATTCTCCAACGGAAACGTTCCCGAACAACACTATTTAGGAGAAATAAAGTAACACTATTGTAATGACCAAGTAATAAATAAAACTATTCACTCATAATAAATATAAATAAATGAATAAACTCATGTTTGAGTTTTCATATATAAAAAATATATACGAATATAATATAATATAATATAATATAATATATATAATAATATAATATTACATCAAAAACACAATTACTTTCTCTTCATGAACAGTTGCTTCAAAAGCTCTAAAGTAAAAAGTATACTACCCTTAAAGGTGCAATGAAACGATGAAATACTTACAATTTTACGTATATGTTGACTATAATTAAATTTATTTTGTATGTTTAATGAGTAAATAAAGTGCATCCTTGGCAGTGCGCCCGCGCAGGCCAGTCCGCGCCCGCGCAAACGGCAGAGCGACGGTCGCCACTCGCCAGTCGGTGGTCGACCGCAGTGCGGTCACGATGCCTCTGTCGCGTGTTCAAGTGAAAGTTCGTTAGAGAAATGCGTCTCGATATTGCCTTTCTGTTTGTGGTGAGTGCCAATTACGTTAAAAGTGCTAATTCTCTGTTAATGCCGACAAAGGATGCACCGATACACTTCAAATGGAAATATTTCGATAAGTTTCTTAAAGTATAGAGTTTGAGAAAAACTTTTTATCAAAAGAAAAAATATTTTTGAAAATTATATTATTTAATTAATATTATTAGGAATTTCTCATATATTCATAGTTAAAATAATCTAGGAGAAATATACGCGATGATAAAACTTTTCAACATAAACGTAAGAGTCGATGTATAATACTCAATCAACAACGAATGAATATATTTTTTGTTTTACTCAAAGCCCTTGTTGTTACAATAAAATAATTTATATTTATGGTTACAACTAATTCGCTAGAAGCATAGAAGTAAATTTAAAGAGGCCGGCATTAAATAATGCTTTCCCTCGTTTCTTGTTACCTAGATAAGTAATAGTAGATTGTTTAAATATCTTCTGAGAATGTAAAGGTGAATGAACTGAATGAAAAAATATTATGTTATAATTACAATGAATGAATTTAAGCAATAAATTGTAAAAGTGCGGAAATATTTCTAAGTCCACTACGCTTGCTCTTGCAAATAGGTCATAGTAATATTATAATAAAAAGAATTAAAATTGTACAAAAAAAAACTAGAAAAAATATTCAAAGAACATTTAATTACACACATACCTACCTATACAAAAATTGGTAACATTTAATCATGCAATATGTTAGATTTAGATAGTAAAGTAAGCAAGCAACAATACTAAAAAACTTTAAAAAAAACTACCATAAACAGTTTAATTAAAAAATTATAAAACATATATAAATAAAGAAATTCTTACATCCCGAGTTAGATGTAGTGTCAGAAAGCGGGACAGACGAGCGGTCTGCAACGTGGGAAGCAGGCCAAGTACCTCGCACCCATTTTTTACCGATCGCACACCGATGCTATACATAATTAAACTGTAGTTTCCGTCTGTGCGTTTTATTGTCTAAATGGACGTAGATACATGTAAGTAGTTAAAAATTTCTATAAAGGTTATTTTATCAAAAAAAACGGTTGAAATTAGTTCTTTATAATAATGTAGGACTTTAATTTGTAAATAACCTTAATTAAAAAATTAAAAAGATTCCGTTATTGATCAAAGAACATTACACTGTACACTTTGAAATTGTAGAGTCGTTAGTAAATAAAATAGCTAATTTTATATATAAATATTAGATAAACATAGTTATTTTATTTACTATTAATATTTCTTTAAACTCTGTGGAATCATAACCTGCAACAAACCCACGTTGACACAGCATCTCTGCATTGACAGGATATTCATCATATCCTATCCTTCTGCCTTTTTGTCTTACTGAATACATTTCAGTAAGGGACAAAGGTAGAAGAGACTCGTATAAATAAATAAAAAATAAACGGACTGCAAGTAGAGTCTTAGGCGCAAACAGTGGCAGATTTACACTTTTCGACCTATAGGCTGTTAAATGTTTGCCGCCCTCACCTCTATCACTATCAGGTCATTGATTATTTTTACAATCCAACAATTTGGCCAACATGACAAGAAATAGTTTTTGGGTACATTTTTGAGCTAATTAAAGCTCGAATCATGCTTCCAATTGTCACAGGAAACTTTCTGATTTCTGCAAGACGCTTAAAAAGAATTCTGCCCTAACTTCGCCGCCCCTAAAATTTGCCTCGATAGATTTAAGCCTACTCAACCTGCTGGTAAATCCACCACTGGGCGCAAAGATATGGCTAAACGATCTGTTGTAAGCTACATTGCAATAAATTATAAAGCAAGAGATGATTTAGTATTTATTAGAAGTGTATTTTAGTGTCAACCTATTTATCAAATACTGGAGGTAGGAATGAAACTCCCAAACCCCACCTCCTTTTTTTTTTTTTTAACGTTGGGAAATGCATTTACGCACGATGTGTGGGACTCACCGGCAAAGCCAGTACTACCCACTAAAACCCAACAAAGCCTTCCCCCGTCTTAATGAGGCGTCGCAGGATCGCTTACGCATTCAACTACGACGCCCCGACGACATAAAACTACCTGATGCAAGTTAAAAATTAGTAAGTTAGTAAATAAACTACCGCCAAATACATATACAAACCTAACCGCATTTACATGAAGCAAAATCAAAGTCAATAACGAAAGCAATTATAAAATTGTGAAAGTAAAAAAAAAGTTTGCGCTACAGATATTTTCAAGAAAAGAAACTTTTTCGCTATCGAATATCTATCTATTTCTTATTATGAAAACAACATTTTTTAATATCAAGCCAACGAGATTTCCAAGCAAACGACCTGGGCCTATGGACTGTGACATAAGTTATGATAAGTAAAATATTGTAAATTTACATCACTGTTAGACTTGGTCAGTGGCGAAAGTCGGATTCGACTTGATTTCACCTCTCTAAGTAACCTCGTTTTGATTACTCCGTCTAATACAAATTGTGTTGTCTACAGTGTGCGCTGTCTGGTAAATGAACATGCTGATATCAACTTAATATAAATTTAATTTATACTATGACGGTCAAGTTTGGACCTTACTTTTTTTTTAAATCCTGTAAATCGTTGACATAGGTCTGATTACAGATATAGATACCCTAATATGAAAACAGTATTTTTTATAATATAAACCTTCATATTTTTATATAAAATATAGGCCTTTGAGGTACCGTTGAGGCACCGCGAAGTGAGCAAGTCCATTATAGTCTCGAAAATCAGTAATGATAAGGTAATTACGCAAATAACATTTATTTTGCCATTAAAATCATTGTTGATGGTATTTAAAGCATACTTATAAAAATTTCGCCTTTAAAATAAATGCATAATATGTTAAAGGAGTTTATTTGTTCTTACTTTATAATACTAGGTATATTGAAAAAAAAACATATTCTATGCATGAATCATCATATTTTAATTCGAGTTAGAGAACGACTTTACTATTTTTTACCAACGGGGTGGAGACACCGCAAACTTCCCAACTCCGGACTGGCCTGAGACGGGACTCGAACCTAGAACCTATAAGGTAGCTGTACCGATGTACATATTTCAGCTACATTAGTATCTTCACAATAATAATTAAATATACAAGTGTCACGTATGGGAGCACAACGGGGAACTGCGAGCTGTACCAACTCGAACGATCAGACTTGAACAGTGAACACGTCTATAAACAGACAGATAAAATATCTAAAAAGTTTATTTCACTTCCACTATATCAGTAATTGCAGGATCATAAAATTCTATATAGATAATAAACAATTTTACGATCAATTTGTATTTTGTTTGTTATAAATTAAAGCAGCCATAATAATCAAATAATCATAATAATCTTATATTATTGGCATATTCAGAAAAACAACAATATCGACAAGTACGAGATCAGAAGCCATTATAAAGTAGAACTCCAAGAGAGGCTTCATTTTATTAAGGATAAATTACTTGATATAATTTTGAGCAACGGTTTATTTATTCGCTAATGAGCCTGTAGAATCGGTTTCTGAAAATAAGTTATCTTGTAAGTTAGTGTGTCATAAACAAGATTTACCGGTCCTTGCAAGTTTAACCCAAACTTTAAATTATCGAGTTCAAATTGTACAATTAGATCGTATATCGACAGATTTGATTGTGGAATTATTATATGATAGAGTTTTCGTTATGTAAACTTAATTCTTCATACTATTTTCCTCGAAAGTTGTCTAACATGTCAAGCTGACTGGGAACATCTTTTCTCTAGTTTTAATAAAAAGACGCTATTATTGGGTGATTTTAACGGGCATCACACAAATTGGTCAAATAGAAATGATACTAGGGGAAATCAAATTATAGATGCTTTATTAGATAAACAGTTTATAATACTAAATAATGGGGATTTTACGCGAATTCAATTGGTAAATAGTACGTGTCAACAGTCCTCTCCAGATATTTCATTGGTATCCTTGGATATAGCTCTTAAATTTGACTGGAAAGTTTTAAATGAAACTCTAGGCAGTGATCACTGCATAATTAAAATTTCTACATATTTTATTTCGAATTTAGAAAATACAGCTCAAAGAAATTTTAAAAAAGCAGATTGGAAATCTTATACAGAACTACTAGAAAGATTATTTTTAGAGTTTAATGTGTCTAATGATTTGCAACACCTATACGATAGTTTTGTAGAAATCATGTATCTGGCAGCCGATATCTATATTCCCTACATTATAACATGCAATAACCCATGTAGTAAGTTTACACCGAGGCCTTACTGGAATCAAAACCTTTCCAAGTCTGTAGCAGAACGACGTTTAGCACTCGCAAAATTCCGACGTAACCCCATACCTGATAATCTAACCGAGCTACAGGATAAGATACGTCTATCACAACTTAGGATGCGTAATGCTCGTTCACACTCGTGGCAAAACATGTGCTCATCTGTCGACGAGTCTCTGTCGCTGGGTGAAGTATGGAAGAAGATGCAATGGGTAAAAGGCTACAAACGTCCAAGAAAATATATTGACGAAGGGAAAGCTAATGAACTATTACGAAACTTAACACCTGATTTTACAGTTCCTAATAAACAATTTTTTACATCAACAAATACGAAGTTAGAGACACTTATTACGCTTTTAGAGGTTGAAAAATGCATTAAAACTAAGGATACATCTCCAGGATCTGATAACATATCTTACTCAATGATAAAACATTTGCCTCATAATGGTAAACTAGTATTAACAGAAATTTATAATAAATTTCTAACAAACTCTTTTGTACCTCGACAATGGCGAGATATTATTATATTACCAATCCCAAAACAGGGGCGTGATCCACAAGACATTGCGTCCTTTAGACCGATTTCCATGATGTCATGTTTATGTAAAGTCTTTCATAGCATTTTACTCAATAGATTAGAATGGTTTATTGAAAGAAATCATGTGTTATCCAAAAGTGTTACGGGATTTCGAAAATGTCATTCTACACTACACAATCTTACCACACTCGTTTCTA